AGAGAGTGCAAAACCGCATATTACAGACGATCCTCTCATCCACTCCAATGATCTTGACATATATCTTGTATCTAGGATTATATATTTTATTCGAACATGTATTTTAAACTTTTTAATGAACAACGGCTGAGACATGTTGCAGGATAAGTCAGAGCAGTGTTCTTGACGATAGGCGAGGTCACTCCTGGTATACAATTTTATCCATTTTTTTGTTAATTTTATATTATGTCATTTACGGGGGTAATAGGGATTTTTCAGAAAAGATAACAGCACAAAGTTGCGATCGAACGATATGTTTTATTTAATAAACTTCATATTTTATTGCACATTATGCAATATCAAACAATTGTCTAAATATCAATTGCAACTACATATTTTTCACAGCCTCTGTTTGTTTTTACTGCAAGAATGCAAAAGGTACATTTATTACAAATGGTTTGACAAGAAAAAAGAACCTGACTATTCGTTCAATTGCGTTTTGAATGTTGTTCGATGATAACACGCTGTGTAATTCTGACCTTATAAATGTGTAAATACCTGAATAATATTAAAAAACGTGAAGAATGCTGAGAAAAGTTTACAGGATAAAACGCTCATTTTGGTCCGAAATGAGTGTTTAAGCAGAAAAACCGAAAATTGCGTAAAGTGATCAGTCGATTGACTTCTTACGCAGATCGTTGATGTCTACACCTTGACGATCGCTTTTCCGATGTTCTCCCCGCGCATCATGCCGATGAACGCATCGAACATGTTTTCGAAGCCTTTCGTCACGGTCTCGCGGTAACGGAGCTTACCCTCGCGTATCCACTGCAAGTTCTGCGTGATTCCCTCGAGCCAGCGGTCCGACCAGTGCGTAACAACGAATCCTTCGATCTTCATTTGGTTGTAGAGTATCGCAGGTTGCAGAACCGTACATTTAGGCAAGGCCGAAGGGTCCGTGTCGTAGTTCGATATACAACCGCACACGGCAACCCGGCTGAATGGTCTCATCTGGTACATGACTGTGTTGGAGACCTCTCCGCCAACCTATTAATTAACGTGGTTTAAGTCCCAATAGCTAATTGCAGGGAAGAACGTAGTTTCTTTCGATCAGTTCGAGGTGGAATTTTTAACACTAGAGCTACCAAAAGTAGGTAAAAATAACTGGTTTCTATACTTTTTAAATTACTCAAATTTATAACAGTACATTTTCTAAGATCTTCCACCATTCTTGTTTCGTAAAGTTTTGCCTATGTAAATTATTAAATCCATTGATTTATCTTTCTCTTGATCCTCTTTTCAAAGGTATGTACACATACACTGTTTAAACAGCAAAAATTAATCGCTCATTGTTCCATTGTTAACAGAATTTGGCGAAATGTAATAATTTTGAAATTACAAGAAATGGTGTGTTCTCTGCTGCTTTCGCTGCGAAAAGTTTTATCAAGAGTGACTGAAGAATCTACAGATTGAAAAGCAATTATCTACAATTTAATTGATCGAAGTAAGAAGAGTATCTTATCAATGCGCACATTATCGAAATAACAATCCATGCCTTGCGGAGCGGCTTCGCGTAAGCTGGACGCGATTGGCATGGTCTTATAGTTGATGACTGAATCAAAACCCATTTCCTCAGTAAGCCACTTGCACTTCTCGTCGGAGCCGCATATACCGATGACCGTCAGGCCCAGATTCTTGGCGATCTGACCCACGTGCGAGCCGACCGCACCGGCGGCTCCGCTGACGACGATTATTTCGCCGGGCTTCGGTTTGCATAATTCCAGCAAGCCGAAATACGCCGTGTTGCTGTGAGCACGAGAGACAGAGAGTTTCATTTAAATAATTTATGGTATGTGTCTTTTACTCCTGCTATTGATGTAAAAAATAAATACGCATATCTCATAAAATTATAATTTTTATCTCAAATTTTAGGAACTTCTATTTAATGCTGGCGTCGGTTCGTGATTTGCATAATTCACACATGGTTGAAAATTTAGATGCACGTCGGCGTAGTCGCAACCCTAGTAGCACTGTGCAGTGGCTCAACATTGGCCCATCACAACCAAATATTGGGCCAATGTTTAACTAATGTTTGCCTAATGCACTGTGCTATTAGGGAAATGAAAGACGATAAATTACTTAGAACCGTGGCGTCCTTTATATTTTATAAACGCGGTTCTTTTTCTCGCAAGACTATAAGCAAGCGCATGCCACATTACAGAGCATGTAAGCTTGCGAAAATTCTTACCCCGGCATTCCCAGCATGCCTAGGCCTAGGGACGGCGGCAGATTGCCTAGGTCCGGCAAAATGTACGGTGTTGACTCGAACATTATATCGACGGCATTCGGCTTGACTATCGTGTGAGTTCTCCAGCCCAGGTTCCCGACGATTCTCTTGCCGACCGGGAAATCTGGATTTTTCGACTCTACGATCTTGGCGACCTGACTACCGATCATTGTGATCCCGACCGGGAACTTTTGCAGGTGCGATCTCATGTATGGATCCACAGATAAGTACTCGGCTTCCGCGAGATATTCTAAATGAAAGAAAAAAATATATAACATCCTTTTATTCACAGGATAATTTATGGCTGATAAATGTAATTTAATATCGATAATTAAGAGAGCTAATAGAATAGCGATCACCACAGTTTCATCAGCACTATTAATTATTAATAATAATTATTACAATTCAAATATGAAGCCAATTTTTAGGTCCGAGCGAGATGTAAGTAGCACAATAATTTAAAATCTAATATGTGAATTCATATACCGTTTTCCACCTGCGCGCCGTTTTACTTTCAGCCAATACAATGTAATAATAGTAAATGTAAACGAAAACATTATTTTGCATAATTAGTTGAAAAAAATCATATAACTGCAGAAAATATTAAAAAACGAAATCGGGCAACTTGCCGACAGCTTAATTTTTGTATTCGTTACATTAATTCGATATCTATTACGAAACAAAATTATTTATTATAGATATCAATGAATTTAATATTACATCAGCATTTGTATGTAAATCATCTTGCTGATACGCCTCGAACAAAAACATATGTAAATTACTCGCTATATAGTCTGCGTGCCGTAACATGTATATGTGCACATTTATCTATAATTTATGTCACGTATACTGTAGCAACACACACAGATCGCGTTATAGTGTTTGTATTGTTTCTGGTATCACTGTACGATGCTGTGAGCGATTATCGTAGTAAAATGTGATTCGTCATTGTGCATATCTGCCTTGCTTAAGGCCTTCACACATAAAATTCCGTAAGGGCGTAAAACGTAAGTATAAGAAAATCGACCAATCACAGTCGAGAACGTAAGGCAATAACGCAAGCAGTAGCAAATCCAATCTGTTGATTTTCTTAC